TTAGATCCACTGTGTTTCCTTTGTCTAAAAAATCTGTTACCTTCTCAAATGAGATCAGATTGGTTTGTAACGATCTACCTTTTGTAAAACCATGTTGTATTTTGTCCCAGTTACCACTGACCTCAATTTCCTTAACTACTTTTGCCTTCAAATTTTTTTCCAAGACCATGCATACTACAGATGGCAAAGTAACAGGCCTGTAGTTACCCGGATCACTTTTTTTCCCTTTCTTAAAAATAGGAACTATGTTAGCAATTCTCCAGTCATATGGTATAATCCCTGAGTTTACAGATTCATTAAAAATTCTTGCTAATGGGCTTGCAATTTCATGTACCACCCCTTAGCCGTCTCTTTGCCAAGCTGAAAAGTCCCAGTCTTATTAATCTCTCCTCATACGGAAGCTGTTCCATACCCCTAATCATTTTTGTTGTGCTTTTCTGAACCTTTTCCAATTTCAATATATCTTTTTTGAGATGGGGCGACCACATCTGCACACAGTAGTTAAGATGTGGGCGTACCATGGATATATATATTTATATATATTTATATCGGCAACCTTTGGCACGCAGCCCGTTAAGGAAATCCACTGGCGAGCCAGGCCGGTTTGTTTACCGGCAGCGTCCGCAGGTTCGGCCGATCGCAGCTCCCACTGGCCGCGTTCGCCGCTCTCCTACCGCCCAGCTCTGAAGGCAGCGGCATCACCAGCAGCGCAGAAGTAAGGGTGGCAGTACCACGACCCCCCCTACAATAACCTGGCGACCCTCCCACAACCCCATTTTGCGTCAGGATCCCCACAGTTACAACACCATGAAATTTCAGATTGAAATATCTGAAATCATGAACTTTACGTTTTAAAAAATCCTATGTCTGTGAAATTGACCAGAATGGACCGTGAATTTGGTAGGGCCCTATCGATGGGAAGAATCAGTGAGATTCAGACCCAGGCTGGATGTGATGATCTGCAGAGTTGAAGGTGATGCTTAGGTTACAGGCCTGATTGACGTGGGGGAAATGGCTGCTATCCACAATGACTGAGAAAGGAAGGAAGGGGAAGATGAATTTCTTCAACGCCACAGGACCCCTGGATTTAAAGGGATATTCCCAATTGTTAGACACAACAATCTGAGACCCTCTTTGCTGCCACTTTAAGAAACCTTCTTGTATTGTCCACAATTCTATTGATCATTGTTCATAAGGAAACCCAGTACTAACGACATTTAGTGGGTTAGGATTCTTGTTAACAACCTAGATATATTAGCTGCATTTCTCCAGGTTGAACATTTATCTTCTGCCCAAATTTCACAGGGGAGACCAGGGTTTCTCAAATTGGGGGTCCTGACCCAAAAGGGAGTTGCAAGGGAGGGTCGCAAGATTATTGGGGGGGGGGGTCACAGTATTGCCACCCTTACTTCTGCGCTGCCTGAAAAGCTCGGCAGAGAGCGAGGGCTGCTGACCAAGGCCCCAGCTCCGAAGGGAGCCGCACAGAAGAAAGGGAGGCCATACCCTACCATGCCGTCCCTACTTCTGCGCTGCTTCTGGCAGTAGCCCTGCCTTCAGAGCTGGGCTCCTGGCCAGGAACTGCAGCTTTCCCGCCGCCCAGTTCTGAAGGCAGGGCCGCCGCCAGCAGCAGCGCAGAAGTAAGGGTAGCCTTACCGTGACCCCCCCCTACAATAACCTTGTGACCCCCCCCACAACTCCTTTCTGGGTCAGGGCCCCTACAATTACAACACCGTGAAATTTCAGATTTAAATAGCTGAAATCATGAAATTTACAATTTTTTAAAATCTTCTGACCGTGAAATTGACCAAAATGGACTGTGAATTTGGTAGGGCCCTACCCATGGGGCCACCCTAACCCAACCTGTTGCTGTTTAATTGCCACTTGTGTGATGGTGTGAACAGCCAGGCCATGGGAATTCAGTTTTCAAGTAAGGTTCTGTTCTAATCTTTTGCCAGATCCTCTGTTAATCCTGACTGCTTCCATAAGGGCTCATCACCTGAGGAAGGGCTGCCTTGCCAGGCTATAGTTAACCCTTTCCAATCATGGCTTTTTAGAAACATGTCCTGTTTTTGGGACTGAACAGTTCTTTTTTAGATTTATTTCTCCTCTCCCCGCCCCCCCGCCACACACACACTCACATACACACCAGATTAAAGACAGTGGATCAGATCCTCAGCTGGTGTAAATTGGCATAGCACGGCTGGCTGCAATGGATTAACAGCTGCTGAGGATCACACCCAGCCTGATTTGCTTCTCACTGAAACCAGTGTGAATCAGGAACAACCCCTGGGAAGTCGGACTAGTGCAAAACTGGTGGAAATGAGAGGAGAATTGAGCCTCCGTGTTGTGTCTAATATTTTAAGGGCCAGATCCTCAGCGGGTGTCAGTCGACACAGCTCCATGGAAATCCCTCAGGTGATTTCAGTTGGCCCCAGCTGAGGCTTTCCACTTTAGTAACAAGAAAAGGAGTACTTGTGGCACCTTAGAGACTAACCAATTTATTTGAGCATGAGCTTTCGTGAGCTACAGCTCACTTCATCAGATGAACATCTGATGAAGTGAGCTGTAGCTCACGAAAGCTCATGCTCAAATAAATTGGTTAGTCTCTAAGGTGCCACAAGTACTCCTTTTCTTTTTGCGAATACAGACTAACACGGCTGTTCCTCTGAAACCTGTCACTTTAGTAACTAAACTCTTTGGCTCAGAGGAGGTAAGGCATTTTGATTTGCCTGCACAGCCCCAAGCGTGCACCCTGGTGTAGAAAAAGTAATAGACACACATTACAGAGACACTGGGCTGAATTCTGCTCCTATTTATGCCGATGTAAATCCAATGCAACATTCACACTGGTGTTACTGGGAGCAGGAATTGGCTGACAGGGTGTTGTTTAAACCACATCTGTTCACTCGAACCATTTGCCAAATCCTCTGCTAATCCAGGCCCTGATCTGATGGAAGGACTATCGAACAGGCTTCCACAGAACTGATTCAGCAGGGGTAATGCAAGCTCGCCCCATGCTCCCCCACAGACCTGCCCTAAAGGGATCAGCCTGAAGCAGTGAGAGGGATGGTGGAGTTTGCAGGCTCTCTTTGGTCCCTCTACGAGGACTGCGGCACAACCCTGTGATGTGGACTCTGAGAAGTGGGCTGCCCACCAAGCAGCTTCCAGCTGATGATACCTGTCCGTCATTACAGACCTGCACCGGATCTGAACCAGGGAAAGGTTCTGCGGTCCCATACCAGCCTGCTACGCCACCCAGTCTTCAGAGATCAGCCCACTTTGGAGCCATGCCTGCAGCCTATCTTTTGCCAGCCCACCCACCCAAATCACCCCAGAGTATAAAGCACTGGCCGCAGCTTGCTATTGAAGTAAATCGGCATTATCCCAGATGGGTAAACAGTGCCCTAGGAGCCTACAGACAGCCTCGTTTCAAGGGGGACCTAGAACACAAAGCAGAATTTTCCAAAAATGTTGCAACACAAATAGACTCAGAGTAAAATTTTCCAAAGCATTCAAGTGAGTTAGGAACCTAGGTCCCATTTTCAAAAGTGATTTAGGCACTTAGGGCCATATCTCCAAAATATTTAGGCACCTAAAGATACAGCTAGGTACCACGATGACTTTGAAAGTCCCCCTAAGTATCTAACTCCCAGAGGTGCTGAGATGCCCTAGTGGGATTTTCAAAAGCACCTAAGTGCCTATGTGAGTTAGGTGCCAGGGTGATTTTGAAAATTCTTCTAGGCACCTCTCTGCATCTTTAGGCACCTAAACAGCTTTGAAAATCTGGTCCTTACGTCTTATGGAAAGCCAGTGGGATTTAGGTGCTTTTGAAAACGTTCCCCTCAGCAGCCATGACACAAAATGATGTGCAGAGCCCCAGGTGAGCTTACAGCATGATACGAATCAGCCTGAATTTTAAGAGTGAGGGGCTATCTCTGATGTCTCTGTTTGTGGGTGCCCGACTCGAGAGCCCTCAAAGGGAGCTGGGTTTCAGAGGATGCTTGCTCAGGACAGATCCCTTGAAGGCCTCTAGAAATTGAAACATCCCAATCACTCGTCACTTGGGAAGATTTAGGCCAGTGACTTTATCACCAGCGTTGTCCCTAGAGTTTAAGAAAGTTGTTCTCTCTGTGCAATTCAGGTCGGTTATTCCACTGCAGAGCTGTTTCAATGGTGTGAAACCCCAAGCGCAAACAACTTGCCAAACTCAACTCGCAGTTTTGAATGATCCTGGATGCACCTTCTGAGTAGCTGCTGTTTGCAAACATTCAGGTAGCTTTTTTTCTATATACGTGTTTGCAAATGGTACGTTTCAAGCCCACGGCAGAGCTTAGCTAAACCAAGAGGCCAGATTCTCCCCGCATGTAAATCGGCATCATTCCACTGAAGTAAATACAGCTATGCTGATTTACCCTATCTGAGGACACGCTTCTGGAATTGTTATAGATGTATAATAGATTCTCTCTCTATCACCCTTGAGAATGGGGTTAAAGTCAACAACCACAATTTGCTCTTTGCCCGGGTGCTGCTCTGTAATTATCCCCATGGTTCATTGCAGTGCTATAAAGAAAATTAAGATGCAAAGGGCCAGTTTTTTGCCTGCACTCCCGTTCCCTTTGCACTGCTCCATCATCTAGCTAAAAGACCAGACCCTCTTCCCCCTCACCGTCCATTTCCCCCCTCCTGCTCTGGGGCTGAGGGAGGGGAGCCGTGCCTTTGGCCCTTGACTGTTCTGCTGAGGTGCCAACAAGGGGAGATAACCAGACCCAGCTTCAGTGGCTGTTTTGTCCGTTTGGGACTGAGACCTCCCTCCCCCCCCCCCCCCCAAGCTTATTGCATGGCCACCAAGCTGGCAACCTCAAGGTGAAGAGTTCTGCAGCCTACAACTGAGCTCTTGAGCCATGTAGCCCCCCCCTCCTGTCTGTTGCACAGACTTGGTGACATGACTGGTGAATTAACAGGGTTCCCTCGAACCTGTTGTAAAAATTAACACCGCGTACCTCCACCATGTACCACACAGAAAAGCAGCAGGCACAAGGAGACCCTCATGATCTGGTTCCAGAAGAGAGAATCAGCTGCACCGGTCGCTGTTAATAGCTGGAATATTTCATGTTACCCTCCCTGCTCTTGACACTCCAAGATGACAGAGGAGGCGAATTTCTGACAGCAAGCGACAGAAAAGAGACTCCTTCAAGACTGTCGGTCAATGACTTCCTCTGCTCCGTGTGGTTTCTCTGCAGCGAGTCCTGTCATTTCACAACAGAACAGTGACCGCTCTGCTCATAAAAGCCTACGCGCCATATCCTCCCGGCTTCCTTTAAAAGCCCCCAGCACAAACGCTAGCAACCAAACCGAGCCGTGCTAATTGCAAGTGCTTTGCTGCTTGACGCTTCCAATCCAGGCAGAGTTTGCAAGAGAAGTGACTAAAAAAAACTTCGGGAGCAGCAATGGGGAAGAACTAGTTCCAGTAGGAGGGGAGATGTGACTTGCGAAGGGTTGGGGAAGAAAGCACTTCTCATTGTAACAGGGTTTTTCGGTTGCAAACCCCAAAATACTTTACCAAGAAAGCTCCTTTTATGTATTTATTTCAGTTTTTACTTCCCTGTAATAGAAGAGTGTGATACTCTGGGCTCCCATAACTATCTTAAAATACACATCTCATTTATAAACAGACCGAAGATCAAATGAAATAACCCAGTGACAGCATCAGTAATAACACGAAATTAATTTACCTGCCCAGAATCTCCACCACTGATAGCGATCCCTCATCCTCTTATGGGCAAGATGGGTCTTCCAGCGTGGTTTGAAGGCTGACAAATTCAGGCTGTTATAGACCCAGTTTCCAAAGGCTCAGGACCCAAAGTAAGTAGCATTTTCCTATTTTACACATGGGGAAACTGAGGCACAGAGAAGGGCAGTGACTTGACCAAACACACTCAGCGGGTCCATGGCAGAGCCAGGAACAAAACCCAGGAGTCCCAAGTCCCATTCGGCTGGCCCATGCTATCACCTACCAAACCCCGACCAAGTGAGAATTCATTCTGTTGCCCCTGATGGAGAATGTTGTGGAGCAAGAGTGTGTAGGGCAGAGCGGGGCCTTTCACCATCGTTTCAGACTCCCACAGAGGCCCCAATCCTGAAAAGACTTATGCACACGCTGAATTTTACGTATGGCAGGGAGGATGGTTTTAGCTGGTGCGGAGTGTCATAGCTCACTGATTTCACTCTGCACCGGCCTCTGCACGGAGCTCAGTTCACTGCAGTGGGACTGCTCACATGCATACAATTAAACCCACGCAGCCGTTTTTGCAGGGCTGGGTCCCGGACCCCTGATGTCAATGGCCAAGTTCCCATTCACTTCAGTAGGGCAGGAGCAGACCTTTAGTTACTATTCCAGGCATCCTATTCCCTGATCAACCCCCAATGCCTGTTTTAGCAGATTCAAGTGTCCTCAACCCCTCCCCCATTTTTTATTCAGCTAATAGTCTCACTTAAAAAAAAAAGTCAGAGTTTTTTCCCCATGCAGTTTCACACTTCTTGTGGTGATCACACCTGCTCACTGTGTGCTGGACCACAGGGGAAAATAGACTGGAGAAAGGAAGTATAAAGCCACGATGGGTGGGATTTTCCCCACCACAGCATATGCCTGCTTGTCAGTGTCTCTCTGCATCCTACCGGCCAAACCATGCAAGATGTAGGGCCCTGTGTCTGAAGGGGCTATAAATTAGACCCATTCCCTTGCTGACATTCATAACCCCATTTAGCACTTACTTAACACCTCCTCCTGTGTCCGGGACTGCCACTTACAGGCAGGGGTGAAAGTAACTTAACGGACTTACCGGTACTCAGGTCCCGGGCAAGGTTGGGGGGCGGCTCTGGACTGCCCCTTTTGCCCCCGCCCATGAGCAGCCCTGCTGGAACAGTCGACTGTGTACCGGCAGGAACTTTCTTACCGGTACGCCGTACCGGCTTACTTTCACCTCTGCTTACAGGACAAGGCAACAGAGGACATGCGTTAAATCAGGGATGGGGCTATTTAAAGGGCTCCATGTAAGTTACACATGCACTTAGCCTCCCTTACACATCAGTAGATCAGGGTCAGTAGATGTGGGGGAGGCTAAGGGCTCCATCCTGTAAAGGGGATGAGCCCTCTGGCCCCAGTCCAGCAAGCCCCCTAACCAAATGCCTAACCTTATGCACTGAAGTCAGTGGGTCACTCTAAGTCAGGTTTGTGGGATGTTCATGCTACCTTTTCCATTGATAAACTGAGACTTCCTTCTCCAGGGCTACCGAACGCCTCTCCCTGGGTTTAAATTCCAGGCTATTGACGTTCCCATTTATCCCACACTTCCCCGACAAGCTCTGCAATCCGTTAACCCTTCACCCACCACCTGGCTCCTGGTATTTGTGGACCACCAGGCCGCAAAGTAATGGAAGTGACTGCAATTGCAGAGGGCTCAGTCCTGTTACAACTAGCTAAGAGGCCACAGGCCCATGGAGAAGTCATGGGGAAGTTCTCACTGGACTCGGCAGAGGAACTGTGGCTTCTAACCTTCGCAAGGAGGGAAGGTGTGCACTTACAAACCCTCGCTTTACCAGCAGAGTCGCTTTCACCCAGAGGCTCTCTCACGGCTGATCAGTCCTTTTAAGGAGTCATTCAGCACCTTCTATTTCCTCTGCATTGCCAGGGGATCAGGCCATGATGACGTTACGGAGTTCTGTGCCTCTGCGTTTGCTGAGCGTTGAGGATTACGATCCTTTTTAGGATTGTCTGCACGTGAAAGTTCATCTGGAATAAGATAGGGTGTGAATTTAAAGCACACTAGTTTAATGCACTTCCTAAATGGATGAAGCTAATCAGGAATAAGACACTCTAATTCTGGAATAAGAGCAGCCGTACATGGAGTTAATCAGGAACAGCTATTCCAGAATAACTCACCATGTAGACAAGCTTCTCAGGTGAAGAGCAAATGCTAGGGCGGTCTTTGGCACCAGCCGACATTGGCTCTCTAGATACTGACTGGCTGTAGGGGCACTCTGTGTCGGTGGTGGGGGTGGGGGACAAGACAGAGAACAGAGCCCCCCCTGCGGGTACGACTCACCCGAGGAAGTGAACGTTGCTCCCTAGCTCTGCGTACAGCCTGTGAAGAAAGGCCTCAGGCAGCAGCTGTCACCGGGCTTGGTGGTTTACACTGATGCTAGCAAAACTCCATGGTTTCTCTGCTGCATTTTTAGCAATTGGTAAATCTGTCGTGTTCTCACCAAGGATTTCTGTTTCTCTGCTATTTAGTGCTGTTGGTCCTGTCTTAGGATCCCAGGGCACTTTGCTGCAGTCAAGGTGTCAGCCTGGTGATGTCCTGGGTGAATTACATTGATGCCCTGAATTCCCCTCCAGTTTAACTGGATGCAGTGGATATTTCCTCCACCCTAAACACTGTTTACTCGTGCAGAGTGGCCATTAAACAACTGGCCCATTCCACCCCAGAGAAGGCTCCATTTCCATGGGGAGAAAAATGCCAACAAACTTAGAAAAGTATGTTGGTCTCATATGTCTGCAGTGGCCCCTCTGCACACCAGTCACGAGAGAGGAAATCAGACTACCAATGAAAACACTACAGTGGGGCAGATGGGGAAAATGGAGCATCCAGCAATCCATGGAAGTGTTTTACCCCGATGCTATAGGGTGTGTGCACCCAGCTGGGGTGATACTAGCCAGCCCGCCCCATGGATCAGGGAGGGGCTGTGAACAGCCATTTAGAAAAGCCATTTCCACTAGCACAAACCAGAGCCCAGAGACACAAGTGAACCACTGACCCAGTGATGGGTGTAACCAGTTTGGGGGGGGAGGGAGGAGGGTGCAGGGGCCAACTGGAAACTGGTTCCCTTTAGTTTACTCTGCTGTCCCCTTAATGCTACTCCAAATGCTTTCCCTGCCGGTGGACGTTCAGATGAGCTTAGATTTCCATGCTGACCGACTCTCACTGACCAGGCTGGGTCGGGGGTGGGAATTGGGGAGACACATTTTTACCATGGGGCAGGGACTTGGGGAAACTTAACTGGAAAGGGGAGGAGCAAGAGAGGGCCTGTGTGGGGAGGAGCCAGCCAGAGAGCGAGGGGACACAGGAAAGAGAACAGGGATGGGAGGATGTAGGGATACCGAGGAGGGGGAGGACCACAGAGGGAGGAGGGGCACAGGAGGGATCTTTGGCAGTGGGGGGAGTTATGCAAAGGAGGTGATGCATAGTCAGCAAATATGCAAATCAGCTTGTCACATCATTTGTGTGGAGGCTCCTGGTTTCTGACCCTTTCTGACCCGGGGCTGGGACCAGTCAGCGCGGGGAGACCTGCAAGGGGAAGCCAGGGGCTGCCCACATGGGCCCAGGCTCGGTCAGCCTCCTGCTGGTCGTCTTGGGCATTAGCTCTTTCCAGCCTTCGGGGCACCCTCTGCCGGCGGGTGTCTCGCCTGCCGCTGGCCCAGTGTCCCTCCTGGACCCCGGAGCCCTTTACCTCGGGGATGTGCCCCGCAGTACTCCCACACTCTGGGTCTCCCCTCCCAGGGGACCCTCAACCCTCTCACCCACCTTGCCGCATTGGCTACTGCCCGTCATCTAGGCCCCGCTCACTGGGGCAAACTACTCATCACTGGCAAGGGGGTTAGGCCCTGCTGCCTTTGCCTATTCCCAGGCTGTATCTCTGCAGCCCTATTCCCCAGCCCTGCTCCAGTTCAGGGGCCCTCCTCCCAGGCAGCTAGCCCTTCTCCCTCCAGGGCTAGAGTGAGACTTCTCTCCTGCGCCGGGCCCCCAGCCCTCTTCTCAGGGCCAGCTGGGCCCTAATTGAGCTAGCCGCAGCTGTGGCTGCTTCCCCTATCAGCCTAGCTTGGCTGCTTTTAACCCCCTGCTCCCTGGGAGTGGGGCAGCTGCCCCACTACATGACCCAACATGGAGGATGTGGTCATGTGACTAGAAGGGCAGTTGGAGTGTTTCCATGGTCAGTGGTGGCCCCCGTGGTAAACAAGGACCAGTTCGGACCGGATTGACCCGGGGAGTCTACGGGGCTTCCCTACGGGGCTTGGCGCCAGAGAACCTATCTAAGGCCGGCAGTTACCTCACTTAGGGGCTGCTCATCCTGAGGTCCTGAGCACCCCTCAGAAGGGTGACATTGTCTGTTATACGTCCCTTCTACTCCGCGTGGGACTAGCTGGGGCCTTGACTTCAGGCCACACATTCCCTGAATTACTGTCCCTGTGAAGCAAATGAGTTTCAGTTCATGTTTGTGCATCTTCCCACTCCCATTTATGTACCTCAGTTTCCCCTACATCAACACACCTTGTTTGGTTTATAGACGTCTGCTTCCATTTGCATTATTCCCCCATAAGGGAGGGAAGGGAGGTTACATAATGGAGGGTGGCTGCCAACCCGACGACCCACGCTGGTATGGCAGTAGACGACTGTGAGCTCAGATATTGTTAGGGGGCTCCCTGCTGCCCTTCCATTTTGTATTTCTTGTACCTAACACAGCTCCTCACGTGACAGGCTCTGCGATGAAATAGACAGAACCATCAAAGGCAGAAGGAGCCATGTCCGTTTCAGACCCACACGCCGCCCCTCAGCCCTGAGCAAGGCCAGGAAGAGGAGCCCTCCCCAACCCAGCGCCCTGGGCTGCTTTGAGCTCACTGCACGGGTTACCACAAAAGGAAAGAGCGTCTCGAGGGGAAGTTGCAGAGCTGTGGGGTGGGTCATTTCTCTGCAGGCCCTCGGCACCATCACACCATCACCTGACGGCCAACCGGCTCTGCCTCTGGGTCTGTTCCGTCAAGACAACCGTTATATGGACTGGTGGCCGCCCGCTCTGCCTGCCCCTCACTGTCAGGATGGAGGGGGCTCTATGGCCTTCCCTTCTCTTGCTCCTGCTGGTTTTAAAGCCCAGCAGTGAGTGATCTGTCTGAATTCGAGGGCAGGAAACCACCGGTGACAGCATCCCCTGCGCTTGGGTCCCCATCATCCTCTCCAGCAGCTGCGGGGTAGACCAGTGGGAATCTGCCCAGACCCTGAAGAGTCCAGGGTGGCTGGGAGAGAGGTGGGCAGACCCTGAAGAGTCCTGGGTTTGGGGTGCGCATCCCCCGGGAGCAGGGGGCCGAGATGACATTGGGAGGAGAAGAGATGGAGGGGGGATTGGGATAACAAAAGGAGAAGCACAGAGCAATGGGAGGCTCTGGGGCAGGGAGACAGGAGGACTTGGGGGAGGGAAAAGGAGGAGTCAGGGGCACAGCGTTGAGGGGAGGACAGAGGGGGACTCCTGCAAGGTGGCCGCGGTGCAGCAGGGGATGCCCTGAGCCCTTGTCCCTAGGGGCAGCGGGCAGGGGCAGGGTTATCACTGCTCTCCTGGTGGCTGCTCAGGAGGGTCCACACGGATTCGTGCTTCCCGATGCCTGCTCCCCACCCCCTGCCCAGGGACTGCCAGGGGCCAGCGACGCTGTGAGTGTGACCTGCACACAGAGCCGCAGCAGGGCCACCAAACTGCACAGGCCCCTGGAGGGGGACAGAGAGAGAGAGAGCCCAGCTCAGGAGGGGAGAGTGGAGGGGCTGGAAGCTGAATGGCTTATGCGACTCACCAGTGAGAGTAATGGGGCTGAGATGGCAATGCCTGATTCTCTGAGTCGATACGAGCGACAGCTGAGATGTTCCAAGCCCGCTGGGGAACAGAGCCCCAGAAAGGGCCGATCCTCCATTGCCCTGGGTGTGAAATGTCCCCGGTGTGGCGGTTCAGTGATGAGACAGAACACAGCTTTTTGCAAGCAGGCAGGCTGGTCAGCTGAGATGGGCGTTCTCTGCCCCCCCGCCTTCCACCTTCTCCTTTTATTATATTTCTCCCCCCTAAGCATTACACACTGCTACCGCAAAAAGATACACAAAGGAATGTATGACGTTGATTAATATACTTAGTTGCATCTTTTATATACTACAATCCTGGTTCTCAGGCCTTGAGCCCAGGCTAAGAAAGCCTCCCACAATTGCTGTCCAAACAATCAAGTTCTCATGGTTTATATCTAGCCCTTGTCCTTGGATAGAGCAATGTGTGCATTGCTTCTACGAAACAGTCAGGGTGTGCCCCGCCTGCTTCCAGGTGGACTAGCTAAACATTAACCCTTCACCCCGGTTCGCAATGGCGGCATTTCACACTTGCTTTGCACTGAGGGGAAACGGCCCTGCAAGGTGCAGAGCGATGGAGAATCAGGCCCAGGATCTCAGCCTCTGTTTATTTCCGCTTCTGCCCATGCACGCCCTGGCCCCAGACGTTATCACAGGTGGGGATGCTGAAAAAACACAGAAATGCTGTTCCGGCTACTGCCAGCAATTACCAGGCCTAGGAAGGGCCCAAGCTCCCCTCTCCTGCCTACCTAAGGGCTACGGAGAGGTTGGGGCAGGATCCTGAGATGCTAGTTGAATTTCTCAGCCCTTTGAGGTTCCCATCACATCAGGGACCCGGCTGCTAAAGCGCCTAGCAGATCATTTGCTGCGGGGAGACATTGACAAGAACATTTCTGTGGCTGCAGCCATTCCCCGGCTAGAGTGTTGGCAGCAAGACCCACCGTTCCCCAGGACCCTGAGGCAGAGAGAGAGAGAGAAAGAGAGAGGTGTGCTTGGAGACTGTCAGACACAATCAGCCATTCAAGGGGTTGTGATAAGATCGTCAGTCGCCCTTGAGTCTATGCAGAAAAACACCTTTAAAAGCTTGTGAGCGTCTCTCGCTCAGTGCTGGTCTTTGTCCCCATCTAGTGGTGACACCACAAAGAAGCACAAGAGCCTCCTACTGCTCCCTGGTCTCTCTCCCCCACGTCTGATCTGCAGCCAGAGCCCTGAGTGGGGCCCCGAGGAACTGCTGCATTATAATAATGATAATAAATAATAATAATTAACAATAATTCCAGAAGTTTATTAAGTTACAACTAGAGCTGATAAAAAAAAGTTTGCAGAAATTTCAGCAAATTTGAAAACTTGACCATTCAATTTTTCTCCCATCACATTTTTGTGGATGGGCCACGGAATTCATTAAATGAATGAAATTATATTAATTTACCTCGAGAGATGATTTATTTTTATTTTGTAATTTTGGAAAGTATTTTCTTTCCAGAGAGAAATCCCATTTTGACATTTTGGGGGAGGGGAGGGACCAAACAAGAAAGCTTTTGAGTTAGTACAAACTCTGAACTGTAACCTGCCTGCAGTGTTTGGTAGGGTGAGAAAAAGTGTTTGATTCCAATCTTGCTTAGCCTGATAAAGTTCAGGATTTAGGATGCCTGTTTACTTTGTATTTCTTATGTAACCAACTCTGACCTTTACGCCTACCACATATAATCACTTCAAATCTCTCTCTCTTTAGTTAATAAACTTATTTCGATGTTTAATCTAAACCAGTGTGTTTGTCTAAAGTGTTTGTGGGATCTGCTCAGATTACAGAAGCTGGGGCATGTCCATCACCCTTTGACGGAGTGGCGAACTCATTAATGAGCTTGTATTGATCAAGAAGGTCTTGAGTAGTGTAAGACACACATTTCTGGGGTGCAAGGCTGGGGGAATTTGCTGGGGTCTCCCTGTATGCTGTTCAGGAGTGGCTTGGGAGAGCCTCCAGGTAACTTTGCTGGGTGTGCCTCTGCACGCTGATGGCTGAGTGAACAGAGCCTGGAGGGGTTTGCTGTTCACTGGCAGAACAGTGTAAGAGACAGCCTGGACAGGAGAGTTAAAGGGGGCACAGGCGTTCCACAGTCTGGATTACACCCCGGAGCACGTTACAATGGGCAGAGCATGCGGTTTTGCTATTTAGTGCTGTCGGTCCTGTCTAAGGATCCCAGGGCACTTTGCTACAGTCGAGCTGTTAGGCCTGGTGCTAAATCCAAGTGTTGGTGAATTACACTGGTGCCCTGCATTCCCCTCCAGTTTAATTAGATGCAGTGGAGGCTGCCTCGCTCATAAACACTGTTTACTGGTGCAGAGTAGCCGCTAAACAGCTGGCCCATTCCACCCCAGAGGAGGCCGCATTTCCATGTTGGCATTTCACTCACCAAATTTAGAAAAGCACCTTGGGATTGTATGGCTTTTCAGAATGCCTGGAGTGGCCCCTTTGCACCCCAGTCGTGAGAGAGGAAATCAGGCCACAAATGAAAATGCTACAGGTGGCTGACTGGGAAATTGGAGCATCCAGCACCGCATGGAAGTGTTTTACCCCTAAGCCAGGCTGCCTCATGGATCAGGGAGGGGCTGTGAACAGCCATTTAGAAAAGCCATTTCTACCAGCACAAACCAGAGCTCAGAGACACCAGTGAACCATTGACCCAGAGGTGAGTGCAACCAATGTGTATGGAGGGGGGAGGGTCACAAATGGGAACAGGTTCCCTTTACTCTACTCTCCTAATGCTGTCCCCTTAATGCAACTCTCAACACTCACTCGTGCCCCCAGAAAAAAATGTTTTTCATTTTTTGCCAGGAACAATAATACCTGCCCTTCTAAGTAGATCTCCAAATGCTTTACAAAGAGGGTCAGTATCATTTCCCCCATTTTATAGATGGGGAAACTGAGGCAGGGGGAGGGGAAGTGACTTATTCATGATCACCTAGATGCCAAGCCAGGAATCAAACCCAAGTCTCCTGGTCCAGTGCTCTAAACACTCGGCAATGCTGCCTCCCTTCTACAATAGGAGACTCCTGTCCTGTCCCCTGCGCTCAGTCAGGATTTTCCCAAGAAAGTTCATGACACGTGTTTGCCCCAGCACTAAACCGGGCTCCCTGTCCGCAAAGCTGCCATTGCACCAGTGCTGTGCCTTTCCTGGGTCGTGAATGACCTGACCTGTTACAGCTGGAGCTGGTTGAATTTTTCCCATCAGAATGGGCTCGGATTAGGTTTGGGTTCTTTTAACATAGAAAATTGGGGGTTAGGCCAAATGCAAACGTTCACAGGAAGCGGTTGCTTCACACTCCAGTTGTTTGATTTTTCCATCCGAAAGCTGAAATCCTCAAAAACAAGGTTGCTGCTGAAACAGTTTTGGCAGCTGAAGACAAACAAACAAAACAACTTCCCATTTTCCACTGTGGGAAGTTTCAGAACCAAACTTCGAAACTTTCTGCTGAAAATCCCCACAAACCATTTTCTTCTAATCGGTGTTTTCCTTGCAAGCCCGCACCATCTACTTTCCAACCAGCTCTATTTAAAATTCCCCCCATGTCCTGCACTTTGGGAACAGCCAAAATGATCTCCTGCCGCCACCACACACCCGTCTTGACCAGCTACAGCAGTGATCAGAATTTTTAAAAATGCCACAGAAATGTTGAATTGCAACAAGCCAGGGCAAAAAATTCCGTAGAGATCAGTCTGATTTGTTTCCTGGTTTTTCAACCAGGCCTTATGAAGACCATTAAAAAACAAGCTTTCAAAACTACGAATATACTGTTATCTACACCACTTCCTCTGTTGAGCAACAAAACCTTCCCTCTCCGTAAACCCTGCTCGGTTTCAGTCACACGCATGCAGAACCTCACCTGCTCTGCAGAGTTCTTAGGAGCAGAAAAGAGTGAGGGGAATTTGCACACCACCTGGGGGTTATATTATTTCTTTCAGCAGGGGAGTCACAAGAGCCTCCTGTCCATCAACTCTGAGCTCTTTGCCTAGTTGGTCTGGGTATCCGCTCTATAGACTGATTACTCCTGGCTCAGCAACCTGTCCTGTCCTGTCCCGCACTGCCACGATGCTTGGACCTCTGCCACCTTCCCTTCTCTTCCTCCTGCTGGCTTTCCAAGCTGTAGGTAAGTAACAACTAAAGGGCAGGGTGAAAGAGCAATAAGCCAGCAGGCCAGCCGCAGGGTCGTAGCTAGAAGTCTTAGAGATCCGATTAAGCTGGTTGTTTGTAGCCCAGTTGGGGTGAATAGCCCAGTTTCATTTGAAAAAATTTTAACAAAAAAACCTGGCATCTGGGCTCACCGAGGGTCTGTCTACACAGCAATTGGGAGGTGTGACTGCAGCCCCTGTAGGCATAGCCCAGCGAGCTAGAGGAAAACTAGCCAGCTGTAAATAGAGTGAAGCTGCAGCAGCATGGCGGGGACTTGGACTAACCACTTGAGTAGGTAGCCGGGGATCTAGGCTGGCTGTACTCAAACAGCTAGTCTGTGCCACCCCAGCCTCACTGTTGTTCTTAGCCAGCTGGCTCAATGGAAGGTAGCTCAGTGATGCCTACACCGGCCCCCTGATTGCAAGGTAGACACGTCCTCGGACGGCTGCTCCCATCACAAAGCGCAGTTGGCACCGGGTTTCGGTCTGAGTGAGACTCGCAGCTACGGGAGATGTGGATGAGGCTCCAGGCACATCACCAGCTCTGGGGAGGGGATTCAGGAGGCCAGCAGCATGGGGCACGGAGAGCAGGGATGACGTGCTTAGACAGAGCTGCGTGGCGGGGCTCCGGACTGGAATAGCATTGGGTACTGCGGGTCCAGACTGAGATGGACTGGCTGAGTTGTGTGGAGCGGGGAAAAACAGGGGTATTTCGCAAGTCACAAAGCAGGTGCATTAACAGAGCCACAGAGCACTCATGCAGATCCATGTGAGCATTTGCACTTCCCACTTTTGGTCAGGGCTGGAAGCAAAGGCTGAGTAGCAGGGCGGCTCCGTGGGCTGGGTGTCAAGTCCCTGCTCCGTTGCGGACTCCATGTGTGACCTTGGGTAAGTCACTTAGTCTCTCTGCGCCTCAGGTCCCCGCTCTGAAGGTGGGGGTGACAACCCCGTGTTAGGAGGAGAACTCCATGAGAGACAGGGAGGGGTTCGGATATTATTGTGATGGGGACCAGCGCTGTCCCTCAGGTGCACATGGATCTGCAGTAATATCTGGTTGAGCAAGGCGGAGACAGGGCTGCTGGCGGGCGAGGAGACGACTGGAAGTGGGGATGGAAAGAAGGGCAGAAAAGAGGAAAAAGCAGAAGAGGAAGAGAGAGAAAACAGGGGGCAGGAAGGCGCTTCGGGCAGCGAGGGCTCCGCTGACAGGCTGACGAGGACAGGCAGGGTTGGAGTCTCTGACACGGCCAGCCAGAGAGAGATCAGCAGGACAGGCAGGGGAGCCAGAGAACAGCCCCAAAACTGCAGCATGAGGCCAAAAACAGGTCTGGTTCCCAGTCCACTGCCTCCTTGGGTCCCCAAAAGTTCTCCATAGACATAAGCCACTAGGATGGGGCAGCGGGACTGGCTCGATCTGTCTGCGATGGGCTGGGATCGGGCAGCAGGACTGGCCTATTCCCAGGGTTGGGGCTTGTTTAATCTGCATCCAAAAACCTCCTCCCCCCACCTCAGCTCCCTCCCCATTTTCACCCAGCTCTATTCTTGCTAGACTCTGGGCACAGGGCTTGTGCAGCCGGCTTTCCCCCCCTGCACTCAGTAAAGTTGCACGGATGTCCCAGGGAAGAATTGACACCTCAAAAATAAACTGATGGGCAGTATAATATCCCAGAGGCCCACAAAGGGGCAGCTCTATGGGGCAGGGACTGTCGCCGTCCTGTGTTTCTACAGCGCCTCGCACCATGGGCCTGGTCTATGACAGGAGCTCCCCAGCCCTACGGTAATACAGGCGATAAATACCCTGCCGCAGGTTTTCAGTGGAGATATTTGACCAGGTGCCGGGGGGAGAGCTTGGTCCGTCTCTGATAGGTGGCGGGGGCAGGGTTTGTTCCGGCTGGATCTTACAGTTTCCTTTTCTTCTGTCTTCCCGGCTGCAGGAGCCTCCGGAGAAGAGTCGGGGCCCGTGAGGCTGAACGGGATTTGGGGAGAGTCGGTCACTTTCTCTCTGGTGATTCCAAGTGGAAGCCGGGTTGACAATATAGTCTGGAACGCAAAGTCAACTATAGCAATTGTGAAACCAGGAAAAGAAGCCGCACCCCAAGTGATAGATCAACGTTACAGAGAGCGACTGAGAGTCCTGGACAGGGGCTACTCATTGCAAATCATGGACCTAAGCCAGGAGGACACGGGCACATACACGGCACAAATAGCCACAGAAGGAACCACTGAGCCCATCTTCCAGAGATTCGCCCTGCACGTGTACAGTAAGTCCCGGGCGGAGGGGTCAGTCCCTTTCTCTCTACAGCAGATGGATGGGTCTGGATGTTGGTTGTTCAGTTTGTTGCCACGAGGGGCGTTGCTGGGGGACGCGGCCGGGGGCAGAGGGAGGACGGCCTGTGGTGGCAGACTCCATGGCAGCGACTGGATGAAGTGAGCTTTGCCCTCTGGCACGGCAGGCTCTATACTCGTCTCGCTGCCGTGGTCGCCCCACCCTGCCCCCTGCACGCTTTCACACAGCTGCTGGGGAGACTCTGCACAGTAGCCTTCTCTTGATGAGCGAGACCCATGAGCCTCTTCAGTCCCTTGCTATAAGGCAGGTTGTCCAGGCCTCCGATCTTTCTTGTCGCTCTTTTCTGAACCCTTTCCAGGTGGAGCTCAGGCCAGAAAGGGAGGAAGCGTGGCCCAGGGGCTTGGGTTCTCGCTGGAGACCCAGGGGGATGGGTTCACGTCCTTGATTTGCCACAGGCTTCTTGCGTGACCTTGGGCAAGTCACTTAGCCACTGTGTGCCTCGGTTTCCCATCTGTACAATGGGGATTAAAGCCCTGCCTCACGGGGGTGCTGCAAGGATAAAGACTGAGAGACAGCACCGTGATGGGGGCCATTTAAGCACCTTAGATAGAACCACGCAGGGCCTGATCCAAAGCCGCTTGAAGTGAGAAGGAAGCAGCGCTCTTGGCCTTTCTGCGACTATCCCGCACAGCAAACTCAGACCTGATCTGCAGCCCCCCTCTCTGGATCTCGTCCAGCCACTCCGCTCTGGGTAGGTTCTTCCACTGCCCCCATCACTGTGGCATCTGGGCACCTTCCAGATGTGCACTGAGCGACGTGACAACACCTCTCAGGGGTTGTTTGTTCTCTCTCATCTCCCCCCCTTTCGGAATTCCATGATTTCCAAATTCACCTGCACAGCAGGGGCCAGAGCCAGCTGTCCTCGCTGATGAGGTTTGTTTTCCTCCCAAACAGAACAACTGACAGAGTCCGACATCAACATCATCCCCGGGCAGGACTCCGTGCGCACTGTGAATGGGACGTGTAACGTCACCCTGAACTGCTCCCTCCTGTGGGGAGGAGAGGACGTGACCTACACCTGGAGCCAGACAGCAGAGAGCTCTGTTGTCTCCAGTGGGGCATCCATTCTCATCTCGCACAGACTCGGAAGTGGGGTCTCACCTGTGACCTGCACGGCCAGGAACCCCATCAGCAACAGCTCAAAATTAATTTCTCTCCAGGAATTTTGTGAAGGTGACTTTCCACAGCAACAAGTCCTGTTAACAGCCATTCTTGCTGTATGTGTCATGTCTGATGGTAGCTGTAGCTAATCCACTTGGGGATAAAATCTGCCCCAGCAACAGCAGATCAAAAACTGTCCACCTGGAAAGGGTTCAGGGAAGAGCTACAACCAGAATTTGAGGTCTGGGAAATGCACTTTATAAGGAGAGACTTTAGAAGCTCAATCTATTCCGTTTAAGAGAAAGTTGGCAGGTGACTGAATTTTAGCCTACAAGTTTCAGTGATTTCTGATAGCAGAGGGGACCTTAATCTAGCCGAAGAGAGCACAATGAGATCCAGTGGCAGGAAGCTGGGGTCAGGAAGGAATTTGCCCCGAGTCAGGTTGGCAGAGACCTCTGCAGCATGGGGCGTGAGTTCTCAGGCTCCCCGACCCCTTCCCCTGTTGCACTCTATGGGTGCAGCAACCGCAGGGCGTCACCAATCGCTCCCCACATGAACTAACCCTGTCCCGTTTCTTCCTTCAGGTTTCACCAGCACTGGCTTCCCAGCAGGGTCAAGCAGCCCAGCAACCTATTGCCAGGTGAAGGGGATTCTCCTGCTGGTGGTGCTGGGAGCCCTGCTCGCAGCCATCGGCATGGTGCACGTCCTCACCCGGGACAAAGAGAGGCTGGATTGAGCGAGCCGAAGGGCCAGTGCAAGGAGCTTTCCTTGCGGCTTGTGGCGACGTCTGCATCTGCAACGGGGTCTTTTCACTCCCCTGCTGCACACCGGAGCCGCAGCAGCCCAGCTGTCGATAGGCCTGGGTTTGGACCCATCCCTGCTCCTTTGCCCTGCCATGCTGGGGCTCAGATGGGGAGGTCGGGACTAGAGAAACTCAGCCTCCAGAGCCCCCCTAAACCTGGCTGAGAATGGGTTGCCACCACCTCCTGGCTGGGCATGGTGCTGCAGGTGTTCTGCCTTAGTTTCTCCATTCTAGCTTTCCCCACTTGCTATAACAGTTCGCCTGGCTCACCACTCTGGCTCGGTCAGTGCGGAAGCTCAGTCCCCTTCCAGGGTATCGGAGTCGAACCAGACACAAGATATAGGAGCCTTTGTCCCAGCTCAGCTTAGTTCTCTGCTCCTTTCACGTTACCCATCTGCCCACCCCCTGGACTCAGCTCGCAGTCACTCTCCTGCCCCTGCAGGGCCTTACGTTAGGAATCATCCCAGGTACTTCCAAGCAGTCTCCTGTCAGGGCCTTCCCTCCCCCCAGGGAGGCCCAATCAGGTCTCCCAGTTTCAATCCCTAGCCCAGCTCCCCTCTCCCCGTGAGGGCTGTTGGGTCCCTGCTCCTTCCCAGCCAGCCCCCTGCAGGGCAGGGTCTCCCCTTTCTTAGCGTCTCCCTTCCAGCCTAGCCCTGCTACAGGTGTGGCGGGCAGAGCTGGCTGGGCTCAGAGCAGCCGAGTGACCCCTCAAGCTTCCTGCGGTGTTTGGATTATGGGTTTTAAGCATTTTTCAGTGTTTATCAATTTATATATTCACAGTTGCAGGACATTGCGGGGTGGGGGGGGAGGGTCAGAAAGTAATTCTTTATGGCAGACCTTGAGATGCAAAACATTAAAGCTTTATCGTGAGCGAGAAGGAGGGGGCGTTGTTATTGGGCCGGAGGCAAGCTTTCGAAAAGCTCTGGGGTAGCTCCAGGGCTGGTCTCTCTGCTCCTATAAAAGATGTGCCCTCCCCACCTTGTCTCTCTCATGTCCCGGGACCGACGGGGCTGCAAGGCGACTGCATACCCAGCTTTGTCATTGTCCATTTTGACATGCAATGTTGACAGCGTAAATAGCCGTCAATCAACTTCTAATATGCTCTGAAGCAGCAGGTTTCTTACCCGGCCTAGCTGTACATTTCAATCGTTACTTTTGTGATGGTTGGCAGCATGACCCCCGTGCCCCAGGACCTGGAGAAAGAGATGGGTGTGTGTGTGTCACGGAGTCCCTGGGCGATGCTCTGGAACTGCTCCCCATGAAGTCAGTCAGGACTCTGGGGTAGTCGCCTTCCTGTGAGCAGCCTGTCTTCAGGACACACAGCTCACCCGGCTTCCACCTTCCTGGGTCTGACCTCGGAGCATTCAGCCTCCTCTGCCCCTCCGTGCGCTTCCCACAGCGAGTCCGCTCAGGCGGTGCTCCTGGGGAAGCCAGAGGGTCCTGCACCCCAACTTCGCAGTCAGACGTGACTCTCAGCCAGCCAGTAAAACAGAAGGTTTATTAGACGACAGGAACATGGTCTAAAACAGAGCTTGCAGGTGCAGAGAACGGGACCCCTCAGCTGGGTCCATTCTGGGGGGCAGTGAGCCAGACAACCACGTCTGCACTTCACTCCATGTCCCAGCCAGCCCCAAACTGAAAACCCCCTCCAGCCCCTCCTCCTCTGGGCTTTGTTCCTTTCCCGGGCCAGGTGGTCACCTGATTCCTTTGTTCTCCAACCCTTTAGCTCTCACCTTGCAGGGGGGAAGGGCCCAGGCCATCAGTTGCCAGGAAACAGGGTGTCGGCCATTCTCTGTGTCCAGACTCCTGCACACACCTGCCCTCTAGGGCTCTGCAATGATCATACACCCTTACTCCACCCCCTAGATACTTAAGAACTGCCTAGGGGAAACTGAGGCACCCCCACACTATTCAGAGGAAACATTAAGAACAGTCCCACTTCGTCACATCTCTCCCCCCTTCGAGATCGAACTGAGCGGGGTCACTTTAGCCGGTGACCTGGGGAAGTTCGAAGCCACCAACGTTCCCATGGATGCCCCAGCATCTCTCCCATTCCTTGGTAGGAGTTACACCAGGCCCTTCCAGTTTCACACCCTCCCTTAGGTCAGGGGTGGTCGATAGAACTCGCAGGCCGCATGTGGGAAGGTTTATGCAGCCCATGCCCTTTGGCCACCCCAAGAATGTCTCCCCATTGACCATCACCTTCTGCTCCCACTGGAGGTCCGAGGGGCCTGGCCCCAGGAAACTCCACACAGACATATAGGTTGGGGTCAGGAGTGGGAGCCCGTCCACATCCCCAACCATCTGGCTGACGGAGTCTATGGCCTTGGGACCCAGCAAGGGAGCTAGACACCGGGGCTTTTCCGTAGGGTCCCCCTGGTTCAAATCGTCAGCCTGCTCAAAGGCAGTGAGGTGGGCATCCACACCCCCCCCCTCCTTAACCAGGGGCAGGAATTTAGTCTCGAGGTTCCCTGCGGAACTGGCCCCCCCGGGATCTATCCCCACTCACCCCGGGGAGGTCCCCTAGGCCTCTCCGCCCCACCACCGCCAGTTCATCCTGCTGCTGCTTCTGCAGCTCTTTCTCGGGCTCTCGCTGTCTCCCACGGTCCTCTTGCTCTCTCAGACTCAGCTCCAATCCCGTCCGTCTCGATCCCCCGATGGGGAACCTGATCGTGAAGACCCCCGTCTGGTCGGGGACAGGAGTCTTGGCGATGCCTGGCTCCCGCTCCAGCTGCTCCCAGATCCTGCTATAGCCCCAGTTGGGGTCAGGAATCTGTTCCTTAGAGCGGTCATCCTCCTCCAGCTGCACGATTAACTCTGCTTTGGTGAACTTTCCAACGCTCAACCCTCTCTTTCTGCACAGGGTTACAATGTCCTTCTTAAGGAGACGGTGACAGGCCATCACTCCGCTCCTCCCAAGTTGTTGTGGACTCACAGGCCCGTGTGTTCTCAGCTCCCCACGGTTTCCAGGGAGAACCCCTAGTGTGCCAGCCCTTCTCGAGGTCACCACCTCTTTGCCAGGGTCGAGCTGCAGACTCCTCCGCCCCTAAGACTGCTCACTGCAGTCCCCAGGGGGACCCCATTACTGCACAGTCCTTCTCGCTGGTCACACACTCCCAGGGGTTAACCGCCCCCCGAAACCGCTCCTTTCTGAGCCTTCAGCAGGCCTGGTCCTCGGCAATCCCCCTTCGTGTTACTGCTCCCCAGTCACTTACTGCAGGAAGCGCCATCCACGGGGTGCAGTACATCCCACCGCTGCCACCAGTTGTCACGGAGTCCCTGGGCGATGCTCTGGAACTGCTCCCCATGAAGTCAGTCAGGACTCTGGGGTAGTCGCCTTCCTGTGAGCAGCCTGTCTTCAGGACACACAGCTCACCCGGCTTCCACCTTCCTGGGTCTGACCTCGGAGCATTCAGCCTCCTCTGCCCCTCCGTGCGCTTCCCACAGCGAGTCCGCTCAGGCGGTGCTCCTGGGGAAGCCAGAGGGTCCTGCACCCCAACTTCGCAGTCAGACGTGACTCTCAGCCAGCCAGTAAAACAGAAGGTTTATTAGACGACAGGAACATGGTCTAAAACAGAGCTTGCAGGTGCAGAGAACGGGACCCCTCAGCTGGGTCCATTTTGGGGGGCAGTGAGCCAGACAACCACGTCTGCACTTCACTCCATGTCCCAGCCAGCCCCAAACTGAAAACCCCCTCCAGCCCCTCCTCCTCTGGGCTTTGTTCCTTTCCCGGGCCAGGTGGTCACCTGATTCCTTTGTTCTCCAACCCTTTAGCTCTCACCTTGCAGGGGGGAAGGGCCCAGGCCATCAGTTGCCAGGAAACAGGGTGTCGGCCATTCTCTGTGTCCAGACTCCTGCACACACCTGCCCTCTAGGGCTCTGCAATGATCATACACCCTTACTCCACCCCCTAGATACTTAAGAACTGCCTAGGGGAAACTGAGGCACCCCCACACTATTCAGAGGAAACATTAAGAACGGTCCCACTTCGTCACAGTGTGGACATCTGATAGACAGCATCAGCCTTCAATGGGCTGTAATGAGATCAACAGCCTCCCGTGAGGCTCTGCAGAAAAACCCCTGTAACAGCTGCAACCCACTCCAGACAGGGAGGGCCTTTGTCCCCATCTAGTGGCTGCTCCACATCAAAGGGTCAGAGCCTCCTGCTGCTCCCAGATCTCTACCCCCCAATAGCTGATGCATTCAAAAGCCAGACCCGGATCCAAATCTGACAAGTGGCCCCTCCCTCGGCAATAGCCCAGTCACAGCCCCAGGGCTGAAGGTCCCGGCCACGAGGCGCTGGACACCATGATGTGGGAGGGTTTGGGCCCAGCTCCATAGGAAAAGGAACTGTCCCCTCCCCCAGCCCGGGAACAGCAGCGCCCCCTGGTGTTTGAGAGAACATGTCACAAGAGCTGGGGAGGGGACCTGGCCTGGTGTCCCCGTGATGCGGTCGATCTGGTCCTAAAGGCTCCTGTTCTTCTCTCTCATGGGGCAGGGTACGGCAGAGCAGAGGCAGGCGCGATGGAGCTGAGCGGGATTCTGGGAGGGTCGGTCACTTTCCCTCTGGGGATCCCAGCGGCAGAGCACTTCGAGAACGCTGGCTGGATGGTAAACACAAACAGTTTACTAACCGTAGCAGCAGGGCAACCACCCAATGTCGTTCTGATAGACAAAAAAAATTACCGCGGATGCATGAGAATCCTTGACGAGAGCTACTCCCCACAGATCACCCACCTGCGCATGGAGGACACGGGACAATACACAGCTGACATAAACACGGATAAAGTGTACAGTAAGTGTGGGGCCAACGAAACCCCGGTGGAAGCTAGAACCCGCCCTGCTCAGGAAGCTCCTCTGGGAGATCAAGGGCTGCAGGGTCCCAGCGTCTGTGCAGACTTCTTAGTGCGGTTGCTTCTCCTCCTCCTCGTTCCTGTCCCTGCCGCTCCCCCACATCCCAGCCCTGCCTTTCTGTTTCTCCTCTACAGCCCTTTCCCACTTGTCCTCTGCAGATACCTTCCCCCATCCCGGTTGCTACCCCATTGCTCCAGCCCCTTCCCTGAACACACACAGACCTGGTCCATCAGAAACCCAGTCTTCTCTTGGCATGTAGGTTTCCTTCACCCACCCCAGCATTTCATTGTTCATTCATCTTCTCCAGGCCCCACCCTGATCTCCTCACCACACAACTCCAGAGTGATCTTCACCCCAACAGAGCTGGTCAGACAGAATTCCCATCCCGCAGGACATGCTGGTATTTCTACAGCGGTTTTCCTTCTGCATCAAGAGGAAAAGTGGAAGGAGCAAAAATGTTCATGGAACAAAACAGTTTGAAAATGTTCGATTCAGAAAGGAAAATTTTCAACGTTTTCAATCAAAGCAAAAGTTTTGTTTCAAAGCTTTGATTGGTTACTTAGACGTTTCAACCTACCGTGCCAATAAAATGGTGTTTTGAGCGGAAATGTCCGTTCAAAATGAAACGGTTTGTTTCCAAATGTAGCTTTGGAAAATTAAAAAATTCCACTGAAATGGACGATTCCCCCTGGAAAATATCAATTGCAACAAACCCACATTTTCCAACAGAAAAAAAATTCACTGGAAACTTTTGATCAGCTCAGACCCCCAACAAGCCTACAGGCTGGGCCTCCCTGCAACCCCCAATCCCCTAAATGATCCCTTCCTTCCGTCTGCCCCCCACTTCCTAGTTGTGACAGCATCACACTTCCCCACCGCCCCTGCTCCAACCATGCTGCAAAGATGCAGAGAGCTCCCCGCCCTCTTCTTTCCCCAGCAGTTCCAGGCAGCAGCTAATAAGATGCTGCTGTGATTTCATCCTGTTCCACGTTTCTCTGCACCCCCCGCAGAGCAAGGACCGGAGCCAGCTATCATCTGTGACTCAGTGACCTGCGTGAATGAAACCTGTAACTACAACCTGAGCTGCACCGCCAGGGATGGGGGGGGGAGGGGGAGAATGTGACCTACAGCTGGACTCGCCCAGCAGGGGGTGCTGTGGTGTCCATTGGACCCATTCTGACCATCTCCCAGAGACCCCGTGGTGCTCACCTGGCCGTCACCTGCACAGCACAGAACCCCGTCAGTCACAGCTCCACAACGGTCTCACCAAACGACTTTTGTGCAGGTAACTCCCTTGACAGCAAGGTGCTGCCCAGTGCTGACGCAGAGACAGCTAGCCTTGTGTCATGGTCTTTGTGCCTATCCCAGGCCTTTGACCCCAAACCGAATCTGCCACCTCCCACTCCACCCCAGAAGCCACCTCGCTGCAGATTTTAGCCTGTAACCCTGCCAATCAGGGAGCAGGTTGCACTTGATTTGTCTGTATCACCAGAGCAGCCTCTGGCAGGGCCCAAGGAGAGCCACGCGCAGGCTGAGATATTAGGGGGGATGTTGGGGGGAACCCCGAGAGGTTTAGTTCTTAATCACTCCTGATCTCAAACACTGACTCACTTAAGGGACTGTATCAGCTCACCTATCCCCTCCCCCAGCTCTGACAATTCCTAGCATGGCAGGCTCTCGGATGCAATAGACAGAACTATCCAATGACGCAGGAGCCATGTCCCTTTCAGACCCACCCGCTGCCCCTTTCAGCCCTGAGCAAGGCCCATGAGAGGAGCCTTCCCCAAACCGGCGCCCTGGGCTTGCATTGACCAAAGGCGACATGACCCCTCGCCAGGAGCCTGGCTGGGTGTAGTCCGGCGCTCAGAGTGACGCACCCTGCGGGCTTTAGGGAACTCAGCTGCTTCGAGTTCATTGCGCGACTTACCACAAAAGGAAAGAGCATCTCGCGGGGGAAGTTGCAGAGCTGTGGGGTGGGTCATTTCTCTGCAGCTCCTCGGCACCATCAGGGATCGACCACTCAGGAAACCCTGCCGGCCAACCCGCTCTGGCTCTGTTCAGTCAGGACACCCATTACATGGACTGACGGCCGCCCGCTCTGCCTGCCCCTCGCTGTCAGGATGGAGGGGGCTCTACGGCCTTCCCTTCTCTTGCTCCTGTTGGTTTTACAGCGCGGCGGTGAGTGATCTGTCTAAATTCCAGGGCAGGAAATGGTGGCAGAGACAGGGCCATCATTTCGGATTTCGGTGGGGGAGAAGGGGGCACTTTAACCGTGATTCCAGAGCTACTTGGGCACCTGAAAACTCTTGGTTTTTTGCAGATAATAACTGAGGTACAGTGCTCCCGTCAGATAATAGTTTCTAATTCCTCTATAAAGAAAGAAAATTTAATAAATATTAGGCCCACTCAGCTCTAATACTAACATGTTCTGGCCTCTTGTGTCAAGTCACTTAAGGGACACTGGTTAGGTTTAAAATGTTAATGTATATTCTTCCTTTGTTACTAACTCTTGCATACAACTCTTGAAACAATGGTAGAAAAACCTAGAGGACTTTCTATCTCTTTTTTGCAGTTCATCAAGCTTGGAATAGACCCTTTAGCTTTTGGAAACATCCTATTAGGGGAAGGCCCTGTGAATTTAGATTGCACCTGCCTCCCGCTCTAGGGGTGTGGCCCCACTAGAAGTAATAGACTAGAAAATGGCTTTAAACAGGAGTGAAACTGACACTTTCAAGTCACTTTCAGAGTATTGCCAACCCCAAATGTTCAAAAATCATGAGATTGGCTTTAAAATAATCCGAGTATATAAAAAATAATAGACTTGGTGGGTTTTTTCTTTACATTCTGCTTTTTGAGCCTTTAAGGTGCACGGGGGTCACATTTTGAAGCTCCCTCCACAGCCACAAGAGCTAGAAACTTCATTGTTCTTTAAGAATGAAGGCTGAAATCATCACATATCGCTTGACTCCAGGTGCCGGAGTTTTAAGGGAAAAGATATTTAGCATGAGACTCATGACAAACTCATGAGAGTTGGCAACACAGCGTTCACTTCTCTTGAAAGGATAGTCACTTTCCAGCAGGGTCTTCAACACAACACCCCACCTTCCCGTCTGACCTCAGGTCAGTGCCTTAGGGACAGTGTCTCAAAGGTTTTCAGGCACCCAAGGATGCAGCCAGGCATCTAGTGGGGTTTACAAAGCACCGGACCTTCTAGGCACTTTTGAAAATCCCACTCCGTGCCTAAATACCTGTGAAAGTCTGGCTGTTAATCTGTGTGTGCCTCAGTGCCCCATCTGTACAATGGGGATAACAGCCCTGCTCTACCTCATCCAGGGGCTGTGATGGGAGGCGCTCAGATACTGCGGTGATGGGGCCACATAAGTACCACAGGTAGAGTGGGAACTTCTCTGTACCACTGCGAGCCCTGCCCTGGGGTTTGGCCCCTTCTTTTCACTTATGCCCCGCACACCTTCCTCTGTTCTGAATGTAGCCTTGGCTCAGAGGGCTTGGCTGTATTTCTTCTGAGTCCCCTGCCTTCTCTCCTCAAACCCCCACCCACAAAGGGATTCCTGTTTTACAGGTTCATCTGACCACTTCCAGGTCCTTCATTTAATTACCAGCCATTTCCTATCTTAATCACCCTGCCTCTGTTTGGAAAGAAAACACTGACCCCCTGCCGAGGGACACAAGCTGAAAGAAACAGCTCTCTGCAGAACTCACAATCCAGTGAAGAGCTCCCCCTGGGAGCACACCTCCTCTATGAACCTCAGGGGGATGGCAGCACCCCATTCCCTACCTAATCGGCGCCCTTGGACAGAGAGCGTCTAATGCACCCCCTGAAAAAAACTGGGGGCTCCTCATCTCCCACTGACCACAGGAGGTGCACAAAGACGGGATGGGCAATCTGGGGAATTTATGGAGCATTGGGAGGACCACCTCAAATCCCCTGCAAAGTTAGGAGGGAAATGGGGGCCCCCACAAATAGCCCCTGCAATGGGCCTGGGAGACTCATGCCCCCTCCCCAGCCAAAGGCGGCTTTCATAGAATCATAGAATATCAGGGTTGGAAGGGACCCCAGAAGGTCATCTAGTCCAACCCCCTGCTCAAAGCAGGCTTTGCTGGGTCTGCCCCAAGCTCCTGCCCCCCAAGGCTCATTGGGGAGCACTGTAGACCCCTCCTCTCTGAGCCTAAAACGCCTGCACCATACCTTAGGCAGGTCCCTCCCCCTAAGGATCTAAAACCTCCCCACACTCAGAGCAAGGTGCAAAGTCACCTCTTCAGCCAAACTTCCTTCACTAGCCCCCAACTCAGCACAGTCACTCCCCGCTCAGCTCGGTCCAGTGGGGATCATGAAACCACCCGAGCCTGCTGGGAAGGGAGAAGGGAAGCAAAGCTGTCTCCCTTACTCTTGGGATGTGCTCAGATACCAGGGTGCTGGGCACCAGTGTAAGAACCCCCGGGAGAGAGACGAGTGGGTAAGGGGAGAGGCAGACTCAGCCGCCAATGGGCTGCAACAGGATCATCAGCCTCCACTCAACCTGGGCAGGAAAAACGCCTCTGAAAGCCTGTAACCCGCTCTGGCACAGGGCAGCTCTCCGTCCCCCTCTAGTGGTTGGATCACAGCAGAGGGAAAGAGCCTCCTACTGCTACAGGATCTCAACCCTCTGAGTTCGGACGTGTTCAAAAGCCAGATCCGGACCCACATCTCACAGCTGGCCCCTGGCTCTGTAATATCCCAGCCCCAGGGCTGAAGGCGCACAGCCATGGGGCTCTGGACACCAGGATCTGAAATCTGGGAGGGTTTGGGTCCAGCTCCAAAGGAAAGGGTACCGTCCCCTCCCCCGGCTGTTCTCTGGCCCGGGAACAGCAGCGCTCCTGGTTCCCGGGGGAATGTGTCACAAGGGCTGGGGAAGGCACCTGTCCTTTGATGGGGCGTGTGGTCGACCTGGTCCTAAAGGCTCCTGTTCTCTCTCGTGGGGCAGCGTACGGCAGAGCAGAGGCAGGCGCGATGGAGCTGAGCGGGATTCTGGGGGGCTCCGTCACTTTCCCTCTGGGGATCCCAGCAGAGCAAGTTAAAACTGCTGCATGGACACGAAACACAAGCAGCGCTGTAGTAACTGTAGCAGCAGGAAACCCCCCCAATGTCCTTGTGTCGGACCCATCCTACGAGGGACGCCTGAGAGTCCCTGCCGAGAGCTACTCACTTCAAATCACCAGCCTGAGGATGGAGGACACGGGCACCTACAGCGCTAAAATCATCACAGCTCCAGGCATCATCTACAGACACTTCCTGCTGCGCGTGTTCAGTGAGTGTGGGGCCGATGAACCCCGGTGGAAGCTGGAACCCGGCCTGCTCAGGAAGCTCCTCTGGGAGATCAAGGGCTGCAGGGTCCCAGCGTCTGTGCAGACCTCTTAGTGCGGCTGCTTCTCTTCCTCCTCATTCCTGTCCCCTCCACTCCCGACCCCCAGCTCCGCCTCTCTGCCCGCTTCTCCTCTGCAACTTTCTTCCCCTGCCCTGGCTGCCGCCCCACTGCTCCCACCCCACACGGTCCTGGCTCCTCAGAAACCCAAACTCCTCTTGGCACGCGGATTTCCTGCACCCAAGCCAGGGCTCACCTGCCCGGCCGCTTTCTGCAGGCCCCACCCCCATCTCCCCAATTCCACCAAAACCCCATTTTCTGATGGAAACCCCTTTCATTGAGGAATTTCAACTAGCTCCAGGCTGGGCCTCCTGGCCAACGCTTCTCCAGCACCCCCAATCAATCCCTCCCTTCTTCCCCCCACCTCCAGCTGGGGCAGGGTCTCCCCAATCCCCTGCCCCTGCTCCAACCGTGCTGCGAGGAGCCAGACAGCTCCTTGCGCTCGGCTTCCCCCAGCACATCCAGGCAGCGGCTAGCAAGATGCTGTGGGAATTTCAGCCCATTCCATGTTTCTCTCCCCCGTGCAGAGCAAGTACCGGAGCCAACTATCCTCTGTGACTCAGTGACCTGTGTGCCCGAAACCTGTAACTACAACCTGAGCTGCACCGTCAGGGATGGAGGGGAGCACGTGACCTACAGCTGGACTTGCCCAGCAGGGGGCGCTGTGGTGTCCATTGGACCCATTCTGACCATCTCCCAGGGACCCCGTGATGCTCACCTGGCCGTCACCTGCACAGCACAGAACCCCATCAGTCACAGCTCCACAACGGCCTCTGCAAAGGACCTTTGTGCAGGTAACTCCCCTTGCAGGATGCCGCTGGCCAGCGCTCACGTGGGGGGAGCTGGCATCGGGTCGCTGCCTTTGCACCGGTCCAAAGCCTTTGATACCAAATGCAACCTGGCCCCCTGCAGCCCCAGAAGCCACCTCGCCGCAGATTTAACCTGTCAACCTGCCAGTCAGGGAGCGGTTTGCACTCGATTCGTCTGTCGCAGGGTCAGTGGGGAGCAGCCTGGGCCCAAGGAGAGTCGTGCACAGGCTGAGATACTGGGGGGGGGAACCCCGAGAAGTTTAGTCATTAAACACTCCTGATCTCAAACACTGACTCACATAAGGGGCCGCATCAACCCCCCCCCCCCCGGCTCTGAAAAGGCTCCTACCTGGGAGGTAGCAGGGGGAGGGGCAGAAACATCAGCACAGGCTGCCCAGGGGAGGGGTCCCAGCCCAGCCCTGCACAGGTGTGATAAGCGGCTCACGGGGGAGGGGGAGCGTAGGGTGGAGCCAGCGGAGCGAGGGTCTCAGAGTGGGGGAGCGAGGGTCTCAGAGTGGGGGCCCAAGGGGCTGTTTTGGGTCCCGTTACCTCACTCTGCTCCGGAGGAGTCTGAGCCACATCAGAGCCCCCTGGGCCCCGCTCTGGGCACTGGGGGCAGGACGCGGCCTCTGACTCTGATTCCCCAGACGGGACACCGGCGCCGAGGTCAGCGGGGCCAGGCCCAGACTCAGCCCTGTTCACACAGCGTCTCCTCCTGCCCCATAAGGAGTGGGGGGCAGGTTCCCAGGCACCCCGACCCCTTCCCCTGCTTTGCTCTTGGGGCATTGGCGGTTGCCCCCTGCATGAACTGACGCCATCACCTTTGTTTGTTTAGCTCCCACATCAGCCCCGGCCTCCTCGCTGTCCTACTGCCACGTCAAGGGGCTCATCCTGCTGCTGGTGCTGGGAGCCCTGAGCACCGGGATCATCGCGGTGCACGTCCTCCCTGGCAGGGACCGGAGACGGGACTGAGAGCACAGGGGCTCCCACTGTGGCAGCTCATCCCGCCTGGGTGTTCCCCAGCCCGCCAGCCCAAGGGATGCTCCGGGGGGACACTCGCTTGCACCTTCATAAGGGTGGATGTCACTGAGTGGGAGGAGGGGAAGTATTGGGTCCCTCTGTGTGGCGGGAGTTGTGGTGGAGAATCAGCCCGGCTCAGAGGTGCCCTCTGGCAGCCACAGACAGCACAACAGGTGCGCCTGCCTCAGTTTCCTTCTTTTTGAAAAGATCCCAGTGTCTAAACGTACCCCTTCCAGGGGCTGGTTTATAGTCCCAGAGTGTAAACAGTCCCTACGTGCCCAGCCCACACCAATCCCCCAACCCAGAGCACACTGCTCAGTCCTCATGGCTGCTCCAGCGCCTGGTTCTTCCCAGGCCCTTCCAGGCTTCCCAGACCTTTCCAGGCCCTTCCCAGGCCTCTGCACTCCACAGGGTCATGATCTTGGTATCTCTGGGGTAATCCCGCTAGTGGCATCATACTCACTGCGGGGTTTCCTCGGGGCCCAGGCTCAGTCACCATCTTCCCTACATTGCTCCTGCTCACCCGCATTTGTGTCCCTATCCCAGCTCTGAGCTGCCAGCCATGGGGAGGTACCTTCCATTCCTTTGCGCATTCCTTTATGTAGCAGAGAACCTGCAGCCCCCCCGGGATGCAGGGCCAGATTCTCATTCACACCAAGCCTCCATTGTGACGGGTTGGGTCACAGAGACCACCTTGGGACTGTCACCTGATGTGCTGAGACGACCTCTGAGCCCATTTTCCCCGGCAGCTTGGGACTCCAGAACCCTGCCTTGTCGAGCCAGACATGCCAGCCTGCTGCAAACCCAGACCCAGGTCTGATCCACGCACCCAAAGCTGCAGACTTAACTGATAGAGAGATATACACAGCTGTTTGCTCCCGCAGGTAGTAATTACTTACTCTGGGTAAATTAATAAGCAAAAAAGAAAAAGAAAGCTTAATATAACTTTCGCATGGATTTTTCAAAAAGTGGAGAGGAAAATAAACTTCTCTCTGCTCCACTGGATTACGAAATAAGGGGAATATAAACTAGCTGTTACTAAGGTTCTGCGGTTTTCACTCTGGGGTGTTTTCTGCACGCTCATTTTTCTGTTTTTTTAATTGAAACACACGTAAAATGTTGAAGGGCTCTGTCTTCAGACAGGCTTGTCTTTTAAAGCATTTATTCCTTTACAAAACTTAATATAACTTTCACTTGTATTTGTTAAAAAGCAGGCGAAGAAGCAGCCTTCTCATCTCTGATCCACTGGCTTACAGAGGCTGTTTGTGCTGACGGTGGCTTTGCTACAAAATCACGCTGCTTCAAATTGTCCTTACTAAAAAATGACCCATGTTAGTCCAAAACGCAGGGGGGAACTTTTTTATCACTATACATTACTTTTATAAACAGGTTTTCTGTGTTTTTTACCCTGGGTTGTTTCTGCGTGCTCACTTTTTATTGACAGGTTTCAGAGTAACAGCCGTGTTAGTCTGTATTCGCAAAAAGAAAAGGAGTACTTGTGGCACCTTAGAGACTAACCAATTTATTTGAGCATAAGCTTTCGTGAGCTACAGCTCACTTCATCGGATGCATACTGTGGAAACTGCAGAAGACATTATATACACACAGAGACCATGAAACAATACCCCCTCCCACCCCACTGTCCTGCTGGTAATAGCTTATCTAAAGTGATCACTCTCCTTACAATGTGTATGATAATCAAGTTGGGCCATTTCCAGCACAAATCCAGGTTTTCTCACCTTCCGCCCTCCCCCCCCCACCCCCACACACACAAACTCACTCTCCTGCTGGTAATAGCCCATCCAAAGTGACCACTCTCTTTACAATGTGTATGAAAATCAAGGTGGGCCATTTCCAGCACAAATCCAGGTTTTCTCACCCCTTCCCCCCCCACCCCCCAAACACACACACACAAACTCAGTCTCCTGCTGGTAATAGCTTATCCAAAGTGACCACTCTCCCTACAATGTGCATGATAATCAAGGTGGGCCATTTCTAGCATAAATCCAAGTTTAACCAGAACGTCTGAGCGGGGTGGAGGGGGTAGGAAAAAACAAGGGGAAATAGGCTATCTTGCATAATGACTTAGCCACTCCCAGTCTCTATTTAAGCCTAAATTAATAGTATCCAATTTGCAAATGAATTCCAATTCAGCAGTTTCTCGCTGGAGTCTGGATTTGAAGTTTTTTTGTTGTAAGATAGCGACCTTCATGTCTGTGATTGCTTGACCAGAGAGATTGAAGTGTTCTCCGACTGGTTTATGAATGTTATAATTCTTGACATCTGATTTGTGTCCATTTATTCTTTTACGTAGAGACTGTCCAGTTTGACCAATGTACATGGCAGAGGGGCATTGCTGGCACATGATGGCATATATCACATTGGTGGATGTGCAGGTGAACGAGCCTCTGATAGTGTGGCTGATGTTATTAGGCCCTGTGATGGTGTCCCCTGAATAGATATGTGGGCAACTGCTGAATTGGAATTCATTTGCAAATTGGATACTATTAATTTAGGCTTAAATAGAGACTGGGAGTGGCTAACTCATTATGCAAGATAGCCTATTTCCCCTTGTTTTTTCCTACCCCCCCCCCCCCAGATGTTCTGGTTAAACTTGGATTTATGCTGGAAATGGCCCACCTTGATTATCATACACATTGTAAGGAGAGCAGTCAGTTTGGATGAGCTATTACCAGCGGGAGAGTGAGTTTGGGGGAGGGGGGGCGTGAGAAAACCTGGATTTGTGCTGGAAATGGCCCACCTTGATTATCATGCACATTGTAGGGAGAGTGGTCACTTTGGATGAGCTATTACCAGCAGGAGAGTGAGTTTGTGTGTGTATGGGGGTGAGGGGAGGGAAAACCTGGATTTGTGCTGGAAATGGTCCACCTTGATTATCATGCACATTGTAGGGAGAGTGGTCACTTTGGATAACCTATTACCAGCAGGATAGTGAGTTTGTGTGTGTGGTTTTTTGAAAAAAAAAAAGGGGGGGGGGCTGAGAAAACCTGGATTTGTGCTGGAAATGGCCCACCTTGATTATCATACACATTGTAAAGAGAGGTTTCAGAGTAACAGCCGTGTTAGTCTGTATTCGCAAAAAGAAAAGGAGTACTTGTGGCACCTTAGAGACTAACCAATTTATTTGAGCAATGAAGTGAGCTGTAGCTCACGAAAGCTCATGCTCAAATAAATTGGTTAGTCTCTAAGGTGCCACAAGTCCTTCTTTTCTTTTATTGTAAAGAGAGTGGTCACTTTGGATGGGCTATTACCAGCAGGAGAGTGAGTTTGTGGGGGGGGGGGAGCGGAGGGTGAGAAAACCTGGATTTGTGCTGGAAATGGCCCAACTTGATTATCATACACATTGTAAGGAGAGTGATCAATTTAGATAAGCTATTACCAGCAGGAGAGTGGGGTGGGAGGAGGTATTGTTTCATGGTCTCTGTGTGTATATAATGTCTTCTGCAGTTTCCACAGTATGCATCCGATGAAGTGAGCTGTAGCTCACGAAAGCTTATGCTCAAATAAATTGGTTAGTCTCTAAGGTGCCACAAGTCCTCCTTTTCTTTTTATTGAAACGCCTATGCAAAAGGGCAGAATGAAAAATTGTTTCTTCACATAGACTTGTTTTTCAAAGTGGTCTTCTTCTTTTCTAATCAACCAACTTAAAAAGGCTGCTTCAAATTGTTCTCACTAACAGCATAGGGGAAAGCTTTTAAAAACTTTTTCCTAGTCAGGGTTTGTGTTTAGGCCTGGGGTGCTTCTGCATGCTTTTTTTTATTGAAACGTAGGCAAAAGTGCTAAATGAAGAGATGTGTCTTCATACAGGCTTGTCTTTTACAGTGTTTATTCCTTTACAAGACATACTATAATTTTCACCTCTGTTAAAAAGTGGGGGAAGAAACAAACTTCTTCTCTCTGATCCACTGGTTTACAAAATAAGGGGAATATAAACTGTCTGTTACTAAGGACCTGTGGTTTTAAAGCTGGTATCTGCATGCTCTATTTTATTGAAACACACCTGTAAATAAAGGGATGTGTCTTCATATATGTCATAAATATAAAGGGAAGGGTAAACACCTTTAAAATCCCTCCTGACCAGAGGAAAAACCCTTTCACCTGTAAAGGGTTAAGAAGCTAGGATAACCTCACTGGCACCTGACCAAATGACCAATGAGGAGACAAGATACTTTCAAAGCTGGAGGGGGGAGAAACAAAGGTTCTCTCTGTCTGTGTGATACTTTTGTCGGGAACAGAAAGGAATGGAGTCTTAGAACTTAATAAGCAATCTAGCTAGCTATGCGTTAGATTCTGTTTTGTTTAAATGGCTGATAAAATAAGCTGTGCTGAATGGAATATATATTCCTGTTTTTGTGTCTTTTTGTAACTTAAGGTTTTGCCTAGAGGGATTCTCTGTTCTGAATCTGATTACCCTGTAAGGTATTTACCATCCTGATTGCAGCTTCCGAAGGGTGGATGTCACTGAGTGGGAGGAGGGGAAGTATTGGGTCCCTCTGTGTGGTAGAAGATGTGGTGGAGAATCAGCCCAGCTCAGAGGTGCCCTCTGGCAGCTGCCGAGAGCACAACAGAGGTGATTACAACAAGAATCAACAGAGTTGATTCTTTTTACTTCAGTTAAAATTCTTCTTTTCAGAAACTGAATGCTTTTTCATTGTTCTTAAGATCCAAGGGTTTGGGTCTGTGTTCACCTATGCAAATTGGTGAGGATTTTTATCAAGCCTTCCCCAGGAAAGGGGGTGTAAGGTTTGGGGAGGATTTTGGGGGGAAAGACATTTCCAAGCGGACTCTTTCCCTGTTATATATTTGCTAGACGCTTGGTGGTGGCAGCAATAAAGTCCAAGGGCAAAAGGAAAAATAGTTTGTACCTTGGGGAAGTTTTAACTTAAGCTGGTAAAAATAAGCTTAGGGGGTTTTCATGCAGGTCCCCACATCTGTACCCTTGAGTTCAGAGTGGGGAAGGAACCTTGACATGGTGGCAGAGCGGTGGGATTAACTTGAAATCATTTTGAGATCAATTTGAGATTTTTTGAACAAGAAGCCCAGATTTTAAAAAGGGAATCTTTTTTTCCTTTGGGCTGCTGGAAAGCAGGTTTTCAGCTGAAAGCAGTTAGAGTTTTTTTGTCTCTGCTTGGGGGCCACAGCAGAGACAAAAGGGAATTGTCTTTTGTGAGCTGGAGTTTTCTCTACCTAAAGGCAGGGTAGTTAACCTCCTGCAGGGAAATTCACAAGTCTTCACAGACCTGAAGAATTTTTTTTTTTTTTACCTAAGCGCAACTAGAGGGGTTTTCTGCCTATTTGCCTGGAGACAAAGGTGTTGGGTTTGGTTTTTTTTAAGGATTTTTCTGTAGGCTGACAATCACTATCAGAGAACATAGGTATCCGGTTACAGCACAGCAAAATTTTACAAGCCAAATTTTTTTGTTTGTTTTATTTCTAACTCCTGGGTGTAAAGTTAGTTAAAAACAGAGAGGCAAACATGACAGAGCCCCAAAACAGAAACAGCCAAA